GTTGACAGTTAAAATCAACAACTGACTGAAGCTTTCAGTATCTCAAAGCACTACAAGAGTTCCAACCCACCTGCTTCACAACCTTCCCCAATTCAATCCTTTGAGCCACAAGAAGCAAAACCATCTTTTATCACCATTAGATTTTCTTTTTGCTCAAACATCTGGACAAAGGGTCTCTTTAAAATGGGGATTAGAAAGATGCCAATAACGTTTTCAGGATAATTTAGAATAATGATATTCCTAACACACTGTTTAATTCTTTATTCAGGAAAAATATCATCATAGCCTGAAGTGGCCAGAATCTTAAGACAGAGTATACTGCTCATTATTTGAAATGTTGGAGGTAGTTACAAGGAAAACTTTCTCCCCCACTTAGTTCACTGATATAATTTGAATTTTCAGATCTTAATTATACTTTCAGTACAACATTTGACTGATTTCCTTTCTATTCTATTCATAACATATAAACTTAAGTTATTTCTTACTCCAAGCTTGATTGAAGGCTCATCAAACCCACTGATGTTAAAGTTGTAGATATCATCCCTGTCAAACAGACAGAGATCAATTTTGTGACTGAATTAAAGAACATTTCACAGAGTCAGGTGTGGGTAATCAGAAATTGTGTTTGAAAATATTGTAACTACTTACAGAACATGACCAGCAGTTATATTAAGAAAAGAAGCAGTTTTTAGGGTCCTGTCCTGAACTTCTTCCTATCCATAAATGAAAAGTTAGCTCCTCTGTCAAATTTGGACTGTGCATTCATAGACAGTATCATCTCAAAAAGCAACTTCTTCATCATGAAGATAATCAGGTAGATTAGCAACAGTTCAATATGGCAAAACATATCTGCAGTCAATGCATAATCAACATCCACAGATACTTAATATTCAGTGGTTTTATGAACTTTCTCTTTACACCTATTGACTTCCAACATGTATGTATGTACTAAAAACAATTCCAACAAAAGCACTAATGTGTTACCTTGGAGATAGAGGATTTATTTAAATGTGTCCTAAAAATAAAGATACATTTTGTTAAATGCTAATTAGAATATATGCATCAGAATGCTGCCTATATTAAAAAAAAACCCAACTCATCAAACCCAGTAAATTTATTCATGCATTTAAATACAACATAAATTAAAAGATGGATTAAAAGAGCCAAGGCCCTTTCATTTATCAGCATTTATGGGTACATCACAGAGACAGCCAGAGGCACAAAAAAACTCAGCACAAAAGGAAGTAGTTCACATCATACCTGTTAAAGCCCAAGGAATCTCTTGCTTTGCTCTTCTCATCACTTTTCTCTCTGTACCTGTCACTGATTTTACTGATCAGTGATTTGGCTGCATCTGCCATTTCTTTAGACTTTGGTTTCTATAAAAACAGTTTAAGACTCAACATTCAACAGAAGAACAAAGCTGCAAACAGAAGTTCAGGTTCCTAAGAACCTCCTAAACGTCATTAAATGTCTCCTAATGCATTAAACGACATTCACTTGAAAACCACTTTCCTTTGCATGACAGTAAAAGCACCAGTTTTGAAACACTGAAAATTAGACAATTCTCTTAAAGGCTAGTGGAAGAACAAGGTTAGAAATTCTCACTGTCTTTGACTGTTTTGTATTTGCAGTCTCTTTTCTGAGGAGAACATCAGGGTCCTCTTGTGCAAGGTCAGAATGAAAAGATGTGTCAGACACTCTGGCTGAAAGAAATGTTTTAAACCATGGTTTAGTATTTTTCCCTTCTATATGTAACAGTTTCTGTTCCAAATTATCAAAACTCTGATTCTCTAATGAGCATGTTATCAATTTAATTTTCTTGGTTCTGTTTTTTTCATTTGTTTATCTGGAGATGTACTTCAAAAAGCTGAACAAATGCTTTTTGTTTCACAGCTCTTTCACTACCAATAGTAATAAAGGGAAAAACAATCATCACTGCAAGTTAATTTCTCTGAATTGATTTTTGAGATTAACAGTTGACCAAGTGTGACCATCACCTGGATGGGATGCATGTGCCAGTGATAGATTTGGTTTTTGCTTGTCCCCAGTTGTTAAATTCTTCTCAGAAAGAGGGAATGTTCTTTTTTTCCATGTTTCAGTTTTATCAAAAGAAGTGTCCAAAAGCCCAGGCAGCCTAACAAAGACAACACCATCCTACTGTCAGAACTTGAGTCTTAATTGTAATAAAAGTGTATAATAAAATATTAAACTACTATAATAAACTATTATATCTTAGAGATATCAAAGCATTTTACATTGCAACAAAATATCAATTCTGGTAATGCTTGAAAATTCTCCCTTCAAAGTGAGTGAAAACAATGACTTGGAATTCTTTTCCAGTACTTACAAAGGTTTGTTGCTTTTCCCAACTGGCTGAGAATCAGGAACAATATCAAACATTTCATCTAAATGAGACATTAATTTGGTGTCAATTATTATGGCAAAATAAAAACTTAAAATAATTTAAAAAGTAAGGACTACCAATGCTAATAAAATTACTTGCCTAAAGTTTGCTTTTTTGTGGCCTCTTGTACACTTTTTATGACTTCTTCAGAATGTATTTGCTACAGTGGAATGACACCCAAAAGAAAATATTAGTGCAGGACCATAAGCAGTACAACCTCCTAAACTTGTGCTTTCTGTAATAAAACATGACTTTCTTATTCTTATTTCATGGAAGTGCTGTTCTAGTACCTTCCCATGTATTTTTGCCTCATTCCTGGTATCTGACTTCCTGTTTCACAGAATTCAATGTCTACTGTGCATCTCTGCCCACTCTAAAAAGCACAGTAACACTGCCCCTTACAGCTCATAAAAGCCAAAGAAATGCTCTAAACAAAACATTCTGACATGAAAGCCTTTTCCAAAGCATGGCTGTATCAAAAAATGCTTCAGAGTCCCATAGGCTGGGGCTTGACCTGAATCTGAGTAAGGCAGACATTTATATATTTTTGCTTTACAGTAGTGAATGCCTGATAAAAATGTACTAAAAAACCCAGTGCTTTAAATGCTGCAACCTGAAGACATGAACATTTCACAAGCACAGCTGAATGTATTCTGTGTTTTATGAATATTTCACTACTGCATAACCAATTAGAAATTATTGCATGCACCTTTCTCCTGTTTTACACAAAAGAAGAACTGATGTTCCAGAAATAGGAAATTAATTCTGGGGTCAGAACTGATGAGTGAATGCAAATTTGGCCTAATTTTGTTAGAGTTCAGTCTGACTTCAAACATGTTAAACCTGAATTTCAGAGGGCAAGAAAATACAATGCAATAAAGTCAAAATACTGTTTTTTAAAAGTGACTTGCTGCCTGTAAAACTCTGTCTCTTTAAAATATGAATTAGGGACAAATTAGAATAGAAATGAATATTATTCTAAGAAAAAGACTTAGCTACAGAGGACATGCATACTCCAGGAGGTTCCTGATAGAAATTCTTTGTTCTGCTCTCATTTATTGTATCATTGTCAGACCTCTTAGTAGAGCTGGTCATTTCCAAAGGCAATTTAATTCTCCCTTTAAAAGGAGTGGCTGAAACAGAACAGAGATGTGTTAGAATTCCATCAGTTCTCCCATTACAACAGGAAGAGTTTTACACACTATCACAGCTATTCCATAAACCCCAACAAAAGCTGGTTAGTTTTGATACCAACCCTTTCTGGACCTTTAATAATTTCATTTATTCCAACTCTGTTATGTGGAGATTAAGAGCCCACTGATTATGGATGTATGGAGGCAGAAGCAAAGCTTGTTACATTCTGTCTCTGGTAGAAAAGAGTTGGTTTCTATTTAAAGACTTCACTGTAATATATTTTTACTGAGTTGTCAGCTGGCTCCAGCACCAGCAGCTGCCTGAGAGCTGCAGCAGAAGTGCCAAGTGACCCTCAGCTGTTGAGAAGGCAGTGCAACCCCTGTCCCACACCCTGTCTATGGACCAGGAGCAAGTGCCCCTTAAACATTTCAAGTTTTAAGCATTGCTCAGGAGATTTTATCATTTCTCCTTTTCATTTCCAGATGTGCCAAGGATCACAGTTCATGCCTGAGTTTCAAAGACCATTTATAGTGTATTTTTACTGTGAAAGCACTTGCAGACTTACATGTGCTGGCAAAAAACAGTGAACTCCTTGTGGACACACTTGCAGATCCAGAAACAAGCACAGATGCTTCAGACACTTTCCTTTTGCGGGGTGGAGTTATCTTGAGGAACAGAAAGAACTTGACCATAATACACTGATTTGAGGATGACAGCACAAGAATTCAGAAAATTTATTGCCAAGAGTCTCTTGAGACTTTCCATTATTGGAGTGTCAATTGCTGCTGCTGCAGGTATCAAGGTAATGTGATTTTTATGCAGTTATAGTTCAACAAAATATTTTTAAACTGAGATTCATGGTTTTTGTTTTCTAAATTAATTCAATGAAGTATGGGCAAATCCTGTTCCTTGTTCACCAAGGGATTCCCTGGAGAATCTGCAAAGCTACAAACTAAGGAGAAACAGCTTTATGAAAACCCACTACTGCACCATGAAGACACGGTAACAGTTTCAGGTTTTAGACCCTCCCCAGCAGTCTCTGAGGCCATACTTGACTTTTCCATACTGGGACATCTGAGCACAGCCTCAAAACCTTCTCTTTAAAAAGAATTCTCAGAGCATCATGGTCTAAAGATCATTACAATTCCTTTTTATTTCTGTCACGTTACTGTAGCTTCAAAATACTAATAATTTTTTTAGTGAAAAGATTTTTCTAGCTTAGTGTCAAGTTATAAGAAAAACAAACTCTTATGATAGTACTAACTATATTCCAACTGTCAAATAAGAAGGGGTTTTGACTATTAAATTTGACAAATATACAAAGTGACATGCATTTTCTCCCTACTCCTTTTCTTTTTTTGACAATCCTACTTACCTTGGAGGAATCACCTCTGAGTTTTTCTTGACTGTTATGTTTACTCTGAGTCCTCAAACTTCCAGGAGATTGCTGAGTTTTGCATTTACCGAGTTTCTCCTCCTCCTTTCCAGGTTTTTCTCTGAAACCTGGTGACAACTGACTTTCTGGTACCAGAACCTATAGAAGATTTTAATTTCTTTTAATTTGTATGCAATATATGGATTTTATCATGTTTTCTTTTTATACAAACACACATAGCAACTTCTTTATCCCAAATAACACATCCCCCACTGGAGAAACCAATAAACCTCAGAGGTTACACGAATTTTAGTTTGAAAAACTTCCAACTTAATTGCTATTTTTGTTACAAGGATGGGTTTTCAAGTAACAATAAGAACATAAAAAAACTTGCCCTGTGCATATTTTTTCTGTTTTAGTCTATGATTTGGATATTAATATCTCCCCAAAAAACCAATACATGCATACTAGACACCACTTGCCTGGATTTAGACTTATCTATACTTATTCATATTTGAAAGTCTTTGTTTTTACTGATTATAAATTATGAATAATCAGACTAATTAAACAAACCCAAGAAACCATCTCAGCACACTGAGGTAGAATACCTGTGACCCACTTTCATCAAAGACAATGTGGACAGTTGTTTTGGCTACTGATGCAGATTGCTTCTTGCTGAAATCCTGCAAAGGGATATGTCAAAATAGACACTTGGCTCTTTTTTTAAACAAAAAACAAAATACTTAAGTGAGAGATTGTAAGTGTCTGAAATCAGATTACAAAGGAAAAGAGATTGTACAAATTCATAGAAGTTTCATCCCTCATGAGTTCCTCAGTCAGACTTCAGGACAAAGCATTTTGTTAGAAGCAGAAAGGAGTGAGGTGTGGCTTGTTAAAAATGTTTTATTAAATGAGTAAATTCATGAGTGTTAATTACACTGAAAACAAGACAGCTCATTAATAATTTCTGAAAGCATTTGCAAGCAACCAGGTTGTGTTTCTGGAAAATCAAATATGCACATTTGACATTAAGGTATGGTGTTCACTTTCCAGCTTGGCAATTTTTGTTGCAATTCATTTCCAATCTTGGAATGAAAGAACCATTTCAGGTGATTGAGTCCAGCACTGCTAAGCCCACCACTAACCCATGTTCCCACGTGCCACATCCTCACGTGTCTTAAATAACCCCAGTATTGGGGACTCCACTGCTGCTCTGGCAGCCTGTACCAGGGCTTGGCAAGCCTTCCAGTAGCAAGATTTTCCTAAAATCCAACCAAAGCCTCCCCTGCTGCAACTTGAGGCCATTTCCTCTTGTCCTTATTAAGCATCTTTCCCAAAGCCTGGCATGTGATGCAGTTCTGTAGCAGTGATGTTGATGAGAAACTCTTGGTATGGAGAGAGAACAATCATCACAGCTGGAACATTTAAATGGCAATGAGACATGGAATTTGAATCAATTTAAAACCATTCAAAAAGGTGTTTAAATCTTACCTTATATTTATGAAATCCATAAATCTTTATGATCACATCTTTGATTTCCAAGATAGAATCAAAACATAAAAGAAATTTCTCTCCTTCAAGAGTACCAACACTCATTGGGCTTTTTAGATCTATTGTTAATAATTTCCTTGAATCTTTTTCTGGACAAAAAAAAAATTTGAAAAGCAGCTTCATTTCAATTTAACAGCATCTCATATATTCTTTGTCAACACATGACATGTTTGTCACTACAGGTACTAAGATTAATATTTTATTTAATTCCCTCTAATCTACAATATTTTTATTAGCAAAACAATTCAAAATTTGGCATTTTAGAAATGCTTATTCTGTATATTATTCCACAGAATTTTCTTTGAAGGTTACTTACTATAGCTGCAGAAAAATTACGTATTTACTGTTCTAACAAGTTCAAAAGGAATATTTTTACCTGTCATTGTCTTATCCTTATTTTGTATTTGAAAAATTCTAAGACATGATTATTAAATTATTTTTCTAAAATCACACCAGCATGCCCAAAGTGCAGCTATGACTGCAGTGCAATTTTGTCCCTGTCCAATTCCTACAATATTTAAGTGAGAATTCTGCTTTGCTAGAATTAAGTCAGTACTTTAAGATTAATCAATTTGAAATTAGATTGAAAATCCAAGTTAGAATACAACAAAAGATCTCGTTTTTGAGTTCAAATACCTTCCAGGCTGTACATGTTGACATCTTCTTCTTGTATAATGACTGTTTCCCACTGCTGATCCTTATATAAAAAAGACATTTTGAAAGGTAGAAAACTATTATATTACAATTAAAGAAATCCAGTGATCAAAGTAATTCAGTGAGGACAAACTTCCAACTTTTTAAACCTCTGTTACAGAGGTCACTGTGTTACCTCCTGTCACTTACGGAGTGACAGGAACTTGTGCTTCACTATTGCTCACTATGCATGTACTAAACTATTCCCAAACAGCATTAGGAAGTGATTACTGTGAAATTATTTGATCCGAATATCAATAAAGCTGGATTTTTTTTAGCCTCGTCAACACTGGAATGCACACGTAAGTTCAACCTGTTGAATGTGGGGAAATCTGACCCACTCCAAAAATGTGGATTTGCTGCCTCAGGACAACCCAGTGGGAGACAAAACTCAGCTTACTGCATCCTCTGCTGCTACATAAAAGGAAATGCTTTTGCTGCCAATGTTGAAATCAATCCAAAACTCTTCCAGGTTTTCATCCAATGGTATCTGGAGCTAAAACAAAAAGAATAAGATAAAACAGTGAGAGCAGAGAGCACTGACTACTACCAGCTAAGAAGCCTCATGTTGGTCTGAACCCCTGACAAACTTTCAGTCCATTCTTTTTTGTATACTTCTGAAAAAAGTAGTTTTCTTATTTTTATCTCTATTTTTTCTTATCTAGAAGGCAGAAAACCTTACCTCACACTCATCAAGAGCTGCTGATAAACATGGGAATGTAAAAACCCTGTAAGAAAAGGATATTTTTTCAAGTATTGTACAATGCTGTAAATAAATTTTGCAGATCTGAACAAAGCAAATGGATTGTGTTTTCACAAACTTTAGAGACTTAGAGATCCCAGCAACCAAAATAATTTTTACTCCAAGGAGGTAACATGAAATTTAATCAGAACAAAAAATCCTAAAAAAGATTAGCATAAAAATATCAGTTTTACCTTCTTTTGTCTCCAAGCATGCCATTTACTTGGTTAAGAAATTTTCTGCAATCCTATTAAAACACAGAAATTTCTTAAAGAATTGGAAGTAAAATGGAAGTTTCCCTCCCTGGAAATATTCCTCATGTGACTTACTGTCTCAAACTCCGAATCTTTAATTCCTTTAAATGCAGTGGACACAAACTCCATGGGAAACCACTGGGAGGCCAGAACTCTCCTCTGCTTCTCTGACACCATTCTGCACAGAGCTTCTGTGATGGCCACTTGTGTGTCATAGTCTGCAGAACAACATAATTCACAGCAGGAGCAGATTTAAATAACTACTGAAATGGAAAATATTATCAGGAAACTGGAGTAAGCAGTGCTGAACATAATCTAGACCCCATTAGATCCAAGCATGCAACCATAAAGGATATTTAGAAAAAGAAGTATATGAATAACGATGACTAGACAAGTTATTTTTGTGACTAGACAAGTCACAGCTCACAGCCTCAAAGATTGGCTTGTTTATAATTTTTTCTATGTGAATATTTATAATTTTTCCTTATGTTCTACAAAACTAAAAACTTCCATGAGTTTTCCATACACTGAACAGACAGAAACATTCCATGTTGCAGACTTTTCATGCAGTATTTATATTTTTCAGATAACCCAAACCATAACATTCTGCAGCTTCCAAATGCCTTCTCTGGTTCCTTAATGGTCTGCAGCTAATTTTTAAGAAGCTCAACACGAAATTAACTCCCGTGCTCACCTCCAGCATCCAAAATTGTCCTCCCCATTTCACTCCTGTCAAACAAAGGAACATTTCTTCAAAATGTGACAGCAACAAAAGGCCCAGAGGAAAGGTTTACTCTAAACTTTCAATGAATGAGACAAACCCCTGATTTCATGGAACTGCAGGACTTCCAAGGGGCAAACACTTCTGAGAGCACTGCCTGGGGACCTGAATCACCTGACAGATACCATTTTGATTCTATTTGCTTTTCTGAAGTGCTGTAAAATGATTTCCAGTGTGAACAGCCCAACCTTCCAGTGACTGATTCACTGTGTTTAAGCACATCCTTACAAATAGGAATTTAATTGTTTTATGACAATGAGGATGGGGAGAAGCCTGATTCAGATTGGGAAAGAGGAAAATTCAAGCTTCTGATGAAGAATAATCCATGAGAATACCTGTCCACAGCCACTACCACTGACAATTCACAGCAAGTGCAGAAGTTGAGTTAAACAAGGAGTAATCTGCACAACAGCTTAGTAAAAACCACCTCCCAACTCTGCAGATGATAGAATGATATAAAAATTATACTGAATATCATTTACATGACAAGTAACATCTCCTTTGTAGAAAGTATCTTTTTCCTGCCATCTCGAGGGATCTTGTCAAGCAGTAAATTCAGTTTTTTTATTACCTAAGAAGAGTGGGAAAAAGGGAATATAAAGTAAGTTTGTTAAACTTTGAGTTTGTTAAACTTTGAATTATTCTTATTTTGAGCCCTTGTAATGTATTTCATACCACTAAAGAGAGCAACAGGCTTAAGTAACTGCAAAACAAGAAAAGACAACGAGTTCTACATGACTTTAAATGGTACTTATCTTACTGAAACAACCGCAATTTCAATTAATTATTTTAGTTTCAATGGGAACAGTAGTTGTTCAACAGTTGTTTCTTATTTGCAGGTTTACATACAGAAAATCTTCCAAAGCCATAATTCTGTCTGCAGTTGATTGCTGAGCTAAAGTGTACCTTAAATTAGCATTAAAAAGCCTTTCCTTTGAGGATGTAGCCTTTACAAAAGACTTTTTTGTAACTTTCCCTTTCTTTAGAGGGAAAATACTCTGAGAACCTGATGTTACTAAAACAAACAGGAGAAATCTGGAGAATACTGGAAGGAATGCCAATTTCCTGCAAGTGACTAAAGAATTTACAACCAACAACCTTAATCCTATTTCTGGCACTTGTAGAGCTCATTTCTTCCTATGCTTTTACACAGCTTTCTCACCAGAACTTTAATATCACTGTTTTGGATATACTCTTAAAAAAATCCCAACAAACAAACAAAAAGCCCCACAACCACAGGTCAGTAATCTGAAACACCCTAACATATAAACAAACATTCCCAGAGAAACATTATACAATCCTTCTGATCCTAGAGTACTACAATATTCTCTTTTTTTGTAGCATCTGCACAACTAAAAATCTGTCTCCACAAAGTCTGTTAACACACTAAACAAGAAACAGCTGCTTAGAAAGAAGGGTGTTTACCTCCTGCTGAACATAAATATTAATTCTTCCATCAGTAATGAGGGAACATGTTCTCAGAACAAAGTTTTCTAGTATTTGCATTTTACCTAACAAACAAGAAAGGAAATCAAAGAGTTGTCAAGAGTTTATTAGGGTGCCCCTCATAAACATTTGGGGAAGATTTCATTTTCATTTAGAAATAAAATACAGTGTGTCTGTCTTTTTATAAAAGACTAATGATATGTAAAACAGAACAGTTACTTCAATTTATAGTAACCATGTTTCTATTCCTGTGCATCACTGTGTAATTCCCCTGGGTAGATTATTAATTTTTTACAGGTAATTGGTCAATCCTATAAATCGGTTCTCTGGGATACAACTCAAGTGCTGCAATTTATCTCCCCAGGGCCAAGGAAATGAATCTTTCTCTTTGATCATGACACCAAACAGTCTTTAGGGACTTCCTCCCCAGTGCCACACTGAAAGGGAAGGGCAGGGTGACAATCACAAGGACAAGGTCAATAAGGAAGGATCACTGGGCTGTGCTGAGCTGTGACAGGACCTTTGAAGCAACTTCTTTAAGGAATAATTCAGTTCATTTGCCATCTCTGAGACTTATTGTGCTTTTTTATTACTGACAACAGCAATTTACAAGGACATCTGTCCATAAACTCCAAACTAAAGCTGATGCCACAGAGAAAAGTGGTCCTTTGTGTGTTCTGAAAGACACATTTTAAACTCTCATTTCTGCTTTTTAAGCTCACCTTCAGGTCTGCTATCACACACAATCTGCAATAAAAAACCCAAAACAAATAATTTTGATAAAGAAAATATTACAGTATAAAAAATCTATATAACATGGCCTCAAAGAAAGTAGTCAAAAAGCATTTAAGATTTTGAAATTATTTTGTCCTTAGCAAAGAATCTAAGAGATGATCCCTACTGACAAATGTTTTCCCAACATTCTATTTCAGTTAAATTTACTGACATTATTTCACCGATGACAACAATTTTTATGAAGAGAAGAAAATTCACAGATCTTATAAACTGCATTAGCATCCCAAGAATGGGTGTAATCA